GCCGCATCCATGCAAACGTTTGACAAGCTGCTTGATTAGCCGAGTGAAGATGAATGGCGTGGTGGCAAGGCCGAAGGGCAATGACAAAAATTGATAGCGCTGCCGTTGCAGCGTGAAGCCGAGAAAACGCCAATATGAGGGGTGGATGTCCACATGGTGATAGCCTGATTTTAGATTGATAGTGAATAGCCAATCATCCTGCTGCACCAAGTCCGGCACCCGGTTCAAGCCCTCGTAGCGAAACTGTGGAACGGAAAAAAGGAATTCGTGAAGGTCCAATATGAGCCTCTTTTTGGACGGTTGGATGACCACATTCAGCGGACTGATGCATGTAAGCAGCCCCGAAGGGGGCACGAGCCGGGCCTCTCCGGTTGCTAATAGAGTGGAATTGGAGGGCCCCTGCATGATTTATGCCATGTCGGAAAGGTGGCTCGGAGGAAGCCCAAGGCAGGCGATAGCCAGACGCGATAATTGAAAGCATGAAGCGACTATCACGCCAAGTGGACCATCATGTGATGCAGGCATGCAGGCGTTGTCACAGGTCCAGGATATAGTGAAAGCTTGAATGATACTAATCAAGAATTGATTTTTTTTTTTTTTGAATGTCTGAATACAAATGCTAATTTTCCCTATGAGAACTCTAGGGAAGGGTAACTAGGATCTTCTAAGAGAGTTCTAGAAATGAGTGGAACCATCCATAGGAACATCACCTTGAATCACGGTAAAGATTCTAGAGATGCGGTGTCGGTAACGGAACACTCCACACAATAGAAAATGTGTCATGCAAGGAAAGTCCGAAAAAAAATCCGTAACACAATTGATATATATGAAAGATATCAATGTGTAGGGAAAAGAGTAGGAATTTACAGAGAAGGAAAAACACACAAAATAACACACAAGTAAATAGTCAATATGCAAATGGATGTGCTCAAGGATTCGGCAAGCCTCATCCTCTCACACTTCCCCCCTCAAAACTGGGTAGACGCTGAAAGCGCCCAGTTTTTCAGCAAGCACTGAGGGTTGTGAGGCTCAAAGTAGTAAGAGAAAATCAAGCCAACAAAGTTGTGCTTGAACAGCAGCTCCTCTGTGCTTTATTCCACACACTCGTGAGCCTGTATGAGCGCACGTAGCAGGTATCCCATGATGAAGGACAGGGACATGTGACGCTCCAACTCAGGTTGCAGAGTTGCGTAGCGAATGGTGATAAGTCCGTACCTGAGTTGCGGTCAGTAGAATTCAACTGCACCATAGCATGCTGTAGCGATGATAACTGCTTCATGTGGTCAGGAAACCATCAAGTGTGTGAGGTTGACATAGCAGTCGTGTACCGGTTTGTATACGATAGTAACGATGTAACTGCTGCATGTCGTTGCAAAGAGACTTGTTGCCAAGTGATTGTATTAGGACAATGCCACCATGCCCATCAATCTATGGTCGTGGTAAAAAAGATATGGGGATTTCTGCGCTCAACCCGTTTGACAGATCTTCCATTTCCAATAGGTTGTTGGTGACGATATTGGTGATTCCAGTATGCCTCATACATGTCCACTTTAGCATGGATTCCATCCATTGGCCTCGGTGTCTGGATGCACGTATAGATGTAGGTCCACTGGGTCGTCATGTGTCGTCGTCATATTATAGTAACAACTTCGATGATGTTGATTTTTTTTCAGCTACTCAGAATCGATGTTGAATATGCTCCAAATCTGCTTGTAGGGGTGCGATTGGAGTAACGCGGATTCCTCTATTCATAGTGGCCTCGACGCTCCAGATCACACCTATCAGCTTCCGTGGAGGTGATGCTGATGATGGATTGGTTGGTGATGCAGGTTTGATGACTCAATTGATGTCATTGGCCATGAGGACTCGAATATCATCGTTGCCCCCCGTCCTGATAAGAGTCACTTTCTCTGAGCTCCTGAGGGCATGTGGCATAAGCACGTTGATTCAGGGCGTAGTGGTATCTCCATCCCACTAGCTGGAAATAATAGATGTAGTGCCAGGCCGGGCCTTGGAATCATGCTGGATTAGGATCCACTGTCATCTCCATGGTTTGGAGGAATATCCATCAGGGGTGGGTGTTGTTGTAGTTGTCTGCTGCAACGGCGACGGCGGTAGACACTCGCGGCGGCGATTGCTGCAGAGGATGCTTGTAACTCGTAACGGTTCGAAGAAGAATCCATCTGCTCCCTGTTCCATGTAGAGTCTTCCTGATGGGTGTAACAATTGTAACTACCAGGGAACACGTTAGTCTTGATGCGTTTCCGATGTACGGTCGGTAGAGCGCGTAATTGTCTTTTTGCAATCTGCATCTCCCGCATTTGTCAACATCATCGTGTTGTTGGGCATTCTCCTACGTCGTCGAAGTTATGTCGAGGATTGTAACGCTTTGGCTTGTGGTAGAATCGCCTCCAATACATGTACCATAGGGTCGCAGGTGTGCAAATGATTGCCGGATTCGAGGTTCTCGGTCTGTCAACCCTCGTGCCTTTATGTGATGGCATAAACACCTGGAATCACGGTCACATGATTGGGACGTCGTCTCTTGAGGTTGATGTCAAACTGCTCCAACCAATCACTGCGGACGGTTGAGGTTCGTAGTGAAGATGAATCGATCAGCTCCTGTTACAAAGTAGTGTCTCGCTATCCCTGACGAGACGTAATAACTGCATCATTCGTTGTATGCAAAATCTGCTCCTTCGCATCAGCTTTGGTTGGGGAGGATTTTGCAAGAGAAAAATGCTACTTCTGTGCAATCCTTTATGCACCCTATTGTCGAAGTGCTTTATATCATCGATGTGGAACGATAGTTTTATGTGAGCGGGTGTAGTTCTTGGAGATGTTCGGCTGCATTGTTGGTGTACCACCAAAATCTGCTTCTTTGGTGGAGTACGAGATTCTGCTTCGTTGGTGTCGATATGGCTTCAGACAAAGATTCTGACTTTGTAGAAGAAATGTTGTCAATTCTGCGACTGATCGAGTAGTACGCAATCACGGTGTCGTCTGGCAGGAATGATGACTCCTGGACATCGTTCTCCCATCGAGTAGTCTCTCGGTCCATTCATGTCGTCGACTCGGTGATGATCTGATGATCCGCGTGCAGCGACAACATTCCTTCAAATGATGTTACCATGTAGGTGTCTGTCGCTGACAAGTCTGACTGCCGATAAGTTTTATCGCTGAAATTCCTGACAAGATGAGGGGATCCAAAATTTGAGAGCTGGATATTTCAGAAGTTCACTCGTCGAAATTGATGTCGGCGTATAACTGCTTCTCTGCGACTGTTCCCCGTAAGAAAGAAACTCGCACTCGATCTGGTCCACTGGTTCAATGTTGATCCGACGGTCCAAACTCCAAGCGATATGTAAATATTCCCGAGGCTTGTTCAGTTGCGTCGAAGGTCATGGTCAACTCGTTTTCTGCAGCAATTCGCTGTTGTCGAAGTCCGTTCTCGAATGTTCGGAGGCGCGCGAACAATCTGCTGCTATCGAGGTTCCGTTTCCACGCGCGCTAGAATCCAAACAGCATCAGCTCAGGTTCGTTTCACCTTGGACAATCTGAAGCACCGAAGTTGAATCGGACGGCTGTCGTAGATCGTCGCTGGCACAACTCCAAGATTCGTGGCGAAGTTGGAAATTCTTGGAAAACGCGGCAGGGTAAGTTCCACCAGCTTTCGTCGATCACTTCGGAGGGCAAAAAATACTCCTAATTTTAATGCAGGTACTTCAGGGACATCGTTGGCAAGGGTCGCTGACGTATGCCCTGCTCTGTCAATGCTGAAAATCGAACGGTTGACGATGTTGCTCGCCATCCATGCGGACCCTAGGTGGAACTGCTCGAGGTTAGTCGGAACTTATTAAGAAACAAGGCTCGATGTAAATCGTCGGATGGATTGCGTATGTATCCACATTTGTTTACGCACATATTGAAAATGAGTGTGAGTAAACCCTAGAAAATGCTAGAAGAGAAGTCATCTGGTCGATGTATATAATTCAAAATTGGTAACATAAAGAAATTATATGACCACATAAAACTGAAAAATGCTTCAACGTGCTATATGAAGAAGTATTTTTTTTTATATGTGGGTTAGTTTATGTTACATTCTTTAGTGCCCTACCTTGACAGGTCAGTAACAGTGCTGACCTATGATTCGTTAGCTTTTTGTGGCACAGCGAATACGCCCCTGGTAGGCTTTGTTCTTTCTCAATCCTCGTTTGTACAATGCAAACTTTTTGCTCTTTGCTCGTTCCTTGTTCTTGCTTGTTACTCAGTCCTTCCTTGTACCTAGTCCATCCTCGTACCTAGTCCTTGCTCATACTAGTTCTTGCGACATTATGAGCGCTGCCGCATTTCGCGCTGGCGCCGTGCATGCTGATGCTTTGCGCGTTGGCACCTTGTGTGCTGGCTCGTTTCACGCTGACGCCTTGCGCGCTGGCGCATTTTGCAATGGCGCGTTGCGCGCTTGCGCGTTTTGCGCTGGCGCCTTGCACGCTGGCGTGTTTCGCGCTAGCGCCTTGTGCGCTAGCACGTTTTGCACTGGTGCCTTGCGCGCTGGCGTCTTGCGTGTTGGTGCCTTGCGTGCTGGCACCTTGCACGCTGGTGCGTAGCAGGCTGGCGCTATGTCAGTGGCACCATGCGCGCGTGGCGTGACGCGCTGTCTACGATGGGAGGCAGTAGAGAGAGGAGGAAGCGCGAGATGGAGAAGCAAGGGCACGTGCGGCAGGTAAGTGAGCATACCACCGACTATACGTAAGAGTCACTACAGCTAGGCGTACTTTTCTCCCCTCTCTCTCGCTCCTTCTCTCAGCTAGTCCACTTGGCGATGTCGCACTTGCTCCTAGCACAGGTGATGCTAGTGCACTTCCTACTTAAACACTAGTTCCTGACGAAAATATTTGACGCGCTTGCTGTTGCTGTTAGCAGATGATACATTAGCATACCATATGCTAGCGTGTTGGCAGTTTCTAGTTCGACTGCTGCTTGAGCGCACTTAGAGCTCACTAGCTGCGAGTGCAACTCGTGCTTAGTTTCTAGTATTTGTTCTGCCCTCTTTTCCCTTTCGTTTCTCCTCGCTGCCTTTACACCTCTCACTCAGGCTTTCACTTCGAGTTTTTTTTTCTCTCTCTCTCTCTCTCTCTCTCTCTCTCTCTCTCTCTCTCTCTCTCTCTCTCTCTCTCTCTCTCTCTCTCTCTCTCTCTCTCTCTCTCTCTCTCTCTCTGTACGATGAACTCAGTTTTAATCCTTTGTGGCACAGCAACTCCACTCGATTTGGCTCGTTTGATTCCACCAGCTAGAAAGGTTTCCAATTCATTCAAATGTAAGCGCCATTGCTGCAAGCTTCACTGTCGCTGACCTAGCCACGCACCTGCGCACGCTCGACGCTACCTGGTGCGTTGCCTGCACAGAGGCCTAGCTTCATGTGTTCCAGCCCCTTATCTGCTCTACCATTTACTTGTTTGCCACCCGCCTCCCTGACCGCCTTGCCACTGCCCGCGACCACTTCCTTAGTCTGCACCCCGCTGACCTCACCCTCTCCGACTTTGTCGACACCCTGTCTGCCATAGAGACCCGTCAGCGCTCTATCATCCAGTCTAACGGTACTGCGCCTATCCCTATCTTTCAGGGTTGTGCTCCCGCCCAGTGCACTTACTCTGACGGTTCTACGGTAGTAGCTGAGATAGCCGCTGCTGCTGAGAACGCTGCCGCGGTTCCAGCAGCGTAGTTCCGTTATGGTAAGGCTCGTCGCCCCAAGGCTGGGTGCGGCGGGGGTAGTGGAGGAGGGGTGGAGGTGGTGGTGGAGGTGGTTTGTCCACTGGCGGTAGTACAGACAAGGGGTTGGGTCTGGTGCCTCGGAGCAGCAGCCCTTGCGGAGCAGCAGCAGGCGCCACAGCTTGACCAGCAGAAGCATCAGCAGCAGCCGTAGCAGCAGCACCCGCAGCAGCAGCAGCAGGCGTCGCAGCAGAGGGTCGGTCGCCTCCCGTCTAGGTGGCCTGGCGCTGGTGGAGGTGGTGGTGGTGGTCGTGGCGGTCGTGCGCGTAGCTCGGCGTTGCATGGTGGTGCGAGAGACGGCCGCTGCTAGTACCAGCTCCAAACCGATCCTCGCCGCGGCCTCGTGTGTGGTAAGACCGGTCATACCCCCACTCGCTGTTTCAGTCACCTGGACGACCTGTTTCGTCTTCTCTTCGGCCCTGTGCTGGACCTCCCCGGCTGGCACAGTCTGCTCCGTCGTGGTGTTAGGATCTTTCATATGGACATGGGCCAGATTATTTCGGCTTTGAATGTGCTGTATGTTGATGACTCTAGTATGATTGGTTCCTATTGCCCCATGTTGCCTAGTGTAGGTCTCTCAAGTGTGCCTAGTTTAGGCTCCCCTATCTGTGTCAGGTGTAGGACCCTCTTCTTTGTCTACCCTTGGCTCCACACTAGCTCCACCGCCCCCAGCCGCCACTACCGCGCTCTCCTTCACTCTCGACTCGGGCACGTCTCGGTGCTTCTTTTGGGACCACACTACGCTTACGCCGCTAGCCATCCCTGCCGAATTTACCCTTGCATACCCTTCCTCTGTCCGGTAGTAGCCCATAGTTCCACTACTCTCCCCTGTCCGGCAGTTCCCTCGGGCTATCTTACAGGCCTGCACATCCCCTCGTTCTCAGAGAATCTAGATGGTGTCAGCTTTCTTCAGGACCTCGGCGTCACCACTACGTTCCCTGATCACGAGAGGTACGCTGTCTGTACCGAGGCTGCCACTGGTGCCCACTCACCACGTTCCCCCGGGACCCGGTGTCTGGCTTGTTCACGGTGGTCATTGCGTCCCCTCGGTTGAGACGCCCCCTCAGGTGGCAGCGTCTATGCAGGTTGCTCCGACCTGCTCGTGTCAGTCGCTTACTCACCCGTCGCTTCTGTGACACCACCATCTCGGTCACCCCGCTCTCATCCGTCTCCGTCACATGTCTCAGCACAGTCTTGTCTAAGGTCTCCCTGCGTCATTCCTTGCGCTTCCCTCCTCCGCAGCACCTCCGTGCACCCCCCGCGTCGAGGGTCGGCTCCGCCATGCCCCTCACTCCTCCTCGTTCCCCCCACCACTGCACCATTATAGACCCTGCACATGGACGTCTGGGGAGACGCCCCCGTCCATGGCCACATCGTGAGCATTACTTCCTAGTGCTTATTGACGACTACATTCGCTACACAACCGTGTTTCCCCTGGAGCGGAAGGTCGACGTGCCTGACGTTCTTATCCCATGGCTTATCTTTGCACGTGTGCACCGAGGTCTCCCTGTGTTGCATCTTCACTACGACCGTGGTGGCGAGTTCACCTCTGGCTGACTTGGTCGCTTCTGTCGTGCGGAGAACATCACCCATACGTAAACCCTGCCGGACTCCCCACAACAGAATGGGGTCGATGACCGACGCATCGGTTTGGTCATGGAGGTGCTCATACATCCATGATCCATGACGGTGCACCCCATTTTCTGAGGCCGTTCGTCATTCTCTACGCCGCCCACCAGCTTAACATGTGGCCGCACCCTCAGCAACCGCAGGTTTCGCCGACCCTCCTCTGGACCGGGTCTCCTGCTGTCGCATCTGCGTTCCACGTCTGGGGCTGCCTTGCTCATGTTCGTGCCTCTGGCATGGACAAGCTCACTGCCCGCACTGTCCCCTGTGTCTTTCTCAGTTTCCCCCTTGACTCGTCTGACTGGCACTTCTACCACCTGCCGTCTCACCATTTCTTTCACTCTCACGACGTCACCTTTGATGAGGGCCGACAGGAGCAAAAGTTAATTCGTAGTCGATGCCATAAGTCTGTTCAAATCCGCGGATGACCCATCGCGCCTTGAATTTCTCAAACGACCCATCTGCATTAGTCTTGATGCGGAAGACCCATTTTCTGGTAAGTACCTTCTTCCCTTTTACTTCTGAAGTCGGTATTAAATCCCATGTGTCACGATTCTTGAGTGCTGCTAGCTCCTTGTCCACGGCTTCGCGCCATTTTTCTCGGTGAGGAGTAAGAGCTTGTCGAACGGTTTTCGGTTCAGGTATTTTACTATCGTTGTACTGTACTGCGACTGCGAATCCCAGTATCTGTAATCCTGTTTCTGTAAAGCGCGGACGTTCTTCGTTTGCACCTGCGAAATTTTCTTCTGGTCCTTCTTCCCCCCCAATTTCGTCAGGTGTAACACGAACTGCTTCGTCGGAGACGACGGGCATCGGCTGCTGTTGGCGATCGTGTTCGTAACTGAGATGAACTTCGCGGACATCATCCTGGTCAGCATCTGCAAGAGGAATGAATTCAGGTATGCCGGTCGAGGTAACAGGTTCGGGAATGTCTGTTGCGGCAGCTTCGGAAGCTTCAGAAACATCCTCGTCCTGAACGTCAGCTTTGGCTTCGTCAGTTGCAAATGCACGCGAGCCTTCGAACAGCCTGGCAGGATTGGCAGCTGCTGCCTGGTGGGGATGAAAAACGGGCAAGGTGAGTCTTTCATAGAAAAGACAATCACGTGATGAAACGATTTCGTTGGAGCGGAGATCCAAAATCTTCCACGCGTGATACTGTTTTTCGATGCCGAGATGTACCCCCCATTTTGCTCGTTCGGAAAATTTCCCGAGTGCTGCAGTTGGAGGACGAAACTGTACAACACACCCGAAAACTCGTAAAAGTTTTGTGCTTCCCACGGTACGTGTCCACTGCAGGTGTGGAGAACAGAACTCGGGCAAGGACGTTGAAGAAAGAAGATTGTGTAACAGCACAGCGTGGTCCATCGCATACGGCCAAAAATGCGGTGGAAGAGCTGCCTGCGTCAGCAGAGCACGCATCTTCTCTTGCAGGGTTCTGTTCATCCATTCTGCTACTCCCATCTGTTGGTGTGTATGTGGCAGTGCCTGCTTCCGTTTGATGTCGAGTGTCTGCAAATACTCGGTGAAAGTGTTGCTGGTGTAATCCCCTGCACCATCACTCTGAAATTCTTGCAGTTTCACGCCGGACTCACGTTCAGCGACAGCGAGCCATGCGACAAAGACAGAGTGAGCGAGATGCCGCGCAGGTAAGTTGGCTGTCCAGACATAGCGTGTAGACGCTTCGATGAAGGTTATCACATACTTCTCGTCTTTAGGTCCGGCTTCAGATAAGTTGAGTATGTCGCTGTAGACTTCTGCATCAGTTTCTAACATGTTGAGCCAGGAAAATGACTGGGAAACGGATCGTGAGTAAGGTTGGCAACTGGACAAGTGATGCAAACCGTCGGACGGTACTGCGGCTTCATCTCCATGCCATCAGGTAAAAGTAGACTATTTTTGTCAAGAACTGCTGCTCGGATTGAATGATTAAGAATCCCTTGTGATGGGTGTCCTAATCGCTGATGCCATATATCTTCTGTGGCTTTGTGTCCTGATGATCGCAGGTAGAAATCGACGTTAGTATAAAAAGAAGAAAGAATGAAAGGAGAAAGAGCTGGGGAATTGTCAATTTCTCCTTCGACGAAACGGGTAAGAGGTAATGAGACATTTGAAGATGCTGCTGCAGTTGCGAGTACAACTTCTGACACTGCTTCTGCTGATGTCGTGGCAGGTATTTCGGCGACAGCTACTGTTGGACACTGTTAGGATTAAGGACGGAGTCTAGGTGAACTTAGGAGCTAGAATTACTCAAAATATAAATCCGAAATTCTGGACAGAAAAGTCGTCTTTACAAGAAACGACGTCGACGAAAAACTAGCCGTTGGAATGTCGCGAAACTTGGATATGTTGTAGCTCTTAATCTCAGCTACCGTTCCCAATTTGAATCACGTTGATTGATGAAGTATTCGCGACGCTATGGCTTTCGACGCATTAGGGGGTAAGCTGTAGGAGGAGAACTTAACTCAATCTCAAAGGTTCAATCAAAGTTCAAGAATCTCACAAGGAATTTTGAAGGAGCAAGAGAAAGGTTGGGATAGGAAGAGAGGGATGAGAGGGAAGGTCCCAAGAGAGTCCCCAACCAAGGAAAACCCCATAAGCACAAAGATTCCCTCCCTATAGGAACCCCAACTTTGACATTTGTCCCTTCCCAACCAATCCATCCAAGTTGGCCACCCTTGCCAACCTAGCTTGGTTGTTCCCAACCAATTTGCAGCTGTTACAGTAGAGTGACAAGTTTCCCCAACCCCAAAGGTCCCAACTCCATATAAAGTCACCCCACAACTTCACTTAGTAACCGCCGCAATTGTAACGCAAGCTCATGAACTTTGAATCTTCATAGCTTTCGCGTTCTTGCTCCGATTGAAGCGATTCTTGTTGCGTCGGAAAGATCTTCTCAAGATCTATTATCACAAATACCTGCTCAGACAGAATAACACAAAACACATTCCCAAACTCCAGAACACACCACACACAAATGCTTGCACATTCAAACCACACATGCAAGTTGAAAAAAACATGGGATGGGAGGCAGACAGAATGTGATAGCATATGATGACATCACACAACAATCTCCCCCTCTGGCTGCCAACCATCATCGACCATACCACATCTCAAGCATGCATACTCAATGCACACTCATCCCAGCAAGCTTCATGCCCTTCCAATGATCCGCCTCCGCCAGACGCTTAGTGAAAATATCTGCTGCCTGCTGATGGGTCTTCACTATCTCCAGCCGCACCTCCTTATCAAGGAGTCTCCTCACCCAATGCCACTTAGGCCTTATGTGTTTTGTCAGCCCATGCAGACAAGCATTCTTGGCGAGCTTCACAGCGGACTCATTGTCACAAAACACAACTGTCGGCTTCTCCTGACCAACTCCCAACTCCTCCAACAAACGCCTCAGCCATACCACTTCCTTGGCCCCATGGTGTAAGGCCATGTACTCAGTCTCACATGAAGACAATCCCACCTCATTTTGCTTCTTGCTGCGCCAGCTCACAGCACCACCTCCTAGCAAGCACACATAACCCCCAATGCTGGTGCCATCCGCTTTCACTGAGTTGAAGCTAGCGTCAGTATAGCAACTCAAGAGCATCTCTCCACTCTTCACATCTGCAGCACCTCTCTGCAACCGCTGCCTCACTCCACTGTACTCCAATCCCACTGATGCCGTAGCACTCACATAGCGGACCAACCTCTTGGCCGCTTCCAGCTGCTCATGACTAGGGCGTGAGACCACACTAGCCAACCGTGATGTAGCAAATGCAATGTCAGGCCGTGTATGATTTGCAGCATAATTCAGCGACCCAACCATCGAATGAAACAGCTTCCTGTCACTATCACCCACTACCTCCTCATCAGCACATGGCTCCACAGTGAACCCCGAAGGTAGTGGTGTTGCTGGCTTTCCCCCATCTTGCAGCCCATACTTCTCAGCCAGCCCCTCACAGTACTTCCTCTGGTGCAACCTCAGCACACCCTTTTCCACATCTCTCTCCACGTGCATCCCCAAGTAGTACTTCACCTCACCCATCTTGGAGCACTTGAACTGCATCTCCAGCATCTGCTCTGCGCTGTCCAGCAAAGCAGTGGATGCAGAAAAGAGAAGGATATCATCCACATACACCAAGAGCATGAGGATTTCATCCTTCTCCTGCAGCAGGAACAGGCTGGGGTCACACTCACTCTTCTTGAAACCCCCAGCCAACAGCGCCTCCTCCAACTTGTGATACCATGCACGAGGCGCCTGCTTAAGGCCATAGATGGCCTTCTTCAGCCTGCAGACCCTGCCGCTCCCGTCATCCAGCCCCTCTGGCTGCTTCATGTACACCTCCTCCATAATGATCCCATTCAGAAAGGCAGTCACAATATCCATCTGCCGAATCTTCCATCCCAGGAGTGCAGCTATCGCCAACAGCACCCTCAGTGTTGTTCCTTTCCCCACAGGAGCAAACACCTCATCATAGTCCTTCCCCTTTGTCTGCTGAAACCCCCGTGCCACAAGCCTAGACTTGTAGCGGGTCAGCTCCCCTTCAGGTCCATACTTGTGCCTGTAGATCATCTTGGAAGTGATTGCCTTCTTTCCAGGAGGCAAGTCACACAGGTCCCATGTCTCGTTCTCAATTAGGGACCCGAACTCCTCATCCTCACTCGCCTTCCACTTCTCCCCATTTGGTCCATTCAAGGCCTCTTCTCGAGTCTTGGGCTCAGGGATTGGTGCCCAGTAGCAGTGAGCGATCTCATCTTCCTCAATCTGCTCAACCACACTCCCAGCCTGCACCACATTCGGCTTGCCTCTTCCCCCATAGGTCAGCCTCACTGGAGGGCGCACATCCCTCCTAGGACGCTCAGGCGGGTGTGGAACTCGAGGTGGAGACTCATGCTGCTGCTGCTGCTGCTCTACTTCAGCTGCTCCCCTTCCTCAGTCACCCCAGACATCTCCTCCTCTGACACTGCAACCTCTACCTGTCTTGAAGGCTGCTGCAACTCATCTGCCTCCACAATGAGTGGTGTAGATGGAAGCTTCTGTTGCTGCTGCTTCCATTCCTTATAGTACAGGGACTCAAGAAACTTCACATCCCTTGACACTGTCAGCTTCTGGGTGGTCAGGTCCCATAGCAGCCACCCCTTGTGATCCTTTGCAATCCCCAAGTGCACACCCCATCTTCCAGAAGCCTCCAACTTCCCCCTTTTCTCCTTGGGCACATGAAACACCACCATGCACCCAAATGCCCTCAGCATGTTCACCGCTGGAGCACTCCCATACCACTTGGCATATGGGATCCACTCCTTATCTCCAACTGTAGCCAGCACCCTATTCTTCACAAGGGCGACCTGCCTCAGTGCAGACACCCAAAACGGATCAGGCAGCCCTGCACGCCCAAGGAGAGTGCGTGCCCCCTCCTGCAGGGTCCTGTTGAACCTCTCAGCCACGCCATTCTGCTGCGGGTTGTAGGGCACTGTCAGTTGATGTTGGATCCCCTTCCTCTTCAACTCCCCCTCAAAATCAGCTCCAATGAACTCCCCACCATTGTCACTACGGATCACCTTCACCTTGTGTCCGCATTCCCTCTGAGCTCTCGGCATCCACTCCTTAAGGACAGCCGCTGCCACCTCCCCCTTGCTGTTCAAAGGGTAAACCCACACTGCTCGAGTGTGGTCATCCACAATTGTCAAGAAATAGCGGCTGCCTGAGAGGGAAGGGGCTCTTGTGGGCCCCACCACATCCATGTGCACAAGTGCAAGTGGGGTCTTGGCTGGTCCTGTAGTGCTGTTGAAGGGGAACTTGGAGAACTTGGTCTCCAAGCATGTAGGGCAGCTCCCAATCTCCTTCACTCCCCCTTTCACCTCCAAGCCTTTCAGGCTCCCATCCTTTACCAACTTCTGTAGCATAGGGAAGTTCACATGACACAGCCTCTCATGCCATGTCTCCCAATCGGCCTCTCCACTCTTTGATGAAGCCTTAGCCCATGCCGCACTCGCATCCACACCAGCAAGCACCTCACCATGTCTCTGCTGCTGCTGCACTTTCTTGACTGCTTCCAGGACCCCATCAGTTGGTGCAGTTGCATCTCCTCCTGCTGTTGCCTTTGCCGCTGCTGCCGTTGCTGCTGTTGGAGTCTTCCCATTCCATGGATGATGGGCAGCTGCCACAGGTCCTTGATGCAGCTGGTCTCCTCTTCCAGACTCCACAGCACCTTCTTCCCAAGCTTAGCACGGCAGCTGGTTGGTCCAAAGGTCACTTCGGCCTTGCTCTTCTGCAGTCGTCGCACAGAGAGAAGGTTAGCAGACAAGCCTTCAACCAGCAGAACATTCCCAAGCCCCACAAGCTCCCCATTAGCTCCCTTAACCTTGGCATTCCCAACACCAATCACGGGGAGCAAAGCACCTGACGCTGCTGCCACATACTTAATCTTCCCAGGGGGTTTTACCTCATCAAGCAAATCTGCCCGTGGAGTCATGTGACTGGTGCAACCCGAATCAATCACCCAGTGCGTGAGAGGGTGCATCACAACCTTTCCGACAGATCCCACATCACCCTCATGCCCATGCACATCCTCAACCATGAGATACATCCCAGGATAGGCGTTACCTTGTGCACCTTCACCTTGTGCACCTGAGCCTTGCACAGCGCCACCTTGTGCGCGTTCACCACTTGGCGGCTTCATGCCTGGAGGTGACCATCCCTCCAGCCTGCTGAAGCACTTGAACCAAGGATGCCCGACCTTCTTGCAGTACCAGCAGGTGCCCTCCATTCTGGTACTCCCCCTGCCACTGGAGCTCCCATGCCCCTCATTATAGTCACCTCGGCCTCTACCTCTGCCAAAGCTTCTCCCACGGCCTCGGCCTCTCCAACCCCCTCTTCCTCTGCTGCGCCCTGCAGCTCCATACCCCTCAGCAGTCTTAGTGGCAGCACCGCCTCCCACATGGCGTCTGCGGAAGTCCTCCTGCAGAATCTGCTGCCTTAGCCACTCAGGTGTCCATTGATCTTGCTGAGAGTTGAGGGTGGGGATGAGGTTGTCCCAAGAGTTGTCCAACACCGAGATGATCTTGGTGCACTGCTGCAGCTGAGATACACTGCTGCCCGCTGCTGCCATCCTTGCATAGGTGTCCTTGATCTTGTCAAGGACCGGCTTCACATCGTCCCCTGGTCGCATGGAGATGGCAGCAAGTTCCTTCTCGAGCACGATCACCATCAGGAGAGTGTTGGGCTGAATCACATCGCGTAGTAGTTTCCACGCCCTTGGACCCGAATCATCCGCTTCCACAAGATCCTTGATGTGCTCGAACATCTCCTTGTTGACCGATTGAAGGATGAGGTCGAAAAGCACCGTGCTTTTCTCAATCCACCGTTCACGTGCTTCGCCTTCTTCCGGCATCTTCTCTTCCCCAACAGCAATCTTCAGTAGCTTGTAGCGTTTGAAGGCACTCCTCATCCGTCCGCTCCATTCCTCATAGTTGGAGCCATCCAAAGCTTCAACTTTTGATGGCGGCGGCTCACTTGTCTTCTCAGGTACAGCTCCTCTTCCATTAGCATCTCCTCCTCTCTCATTCATCTTCTCCTTGAGAAATGACGAATTTCAGCTCCCCTTTGCTGTCCACACTCAGCTCCCTCGATATTTTCACAAGTGTCGGCGTCCACGAAATTTCGGCAGAGTTTCCCCTTAGCGGAAGACACATCCAACCTTTAGAACACCACTTAGGCACACCCACAGGCCATGGTGGGTCTAGAAGGGTCTTCAAACTTCTGTAGACTCCTCTCAATGTCCTTAATATTGCTCTGATACCACTTGTTAGGATTAAGGACGGAGTCTAGGTGAACTTAGGAGCTAGAATTACTCAAAATATAAATCCGAAATTCTGGACAGAAAAGTCGTCTTTACAAGAAACGACGTCGACGAAAAACTAGCCGTTGGAATGTCGCGAAACTTGGATATGTTGTAGCTCTTAATCTCAGCTACCGTTCCCAATTTGAATCACGTTGATTGATGAAGTATTCGCGACGCTATGGCTTTCGACGCATTAGGGGGTAAGCTGTAGGAGGAGAACTTAACTCAATCTCAAAGGTTCAATCAAAGTTCAAGAATCTCACAAGGAATTTTGAAGGAGCAAGAGAAAGGTTGGGATAGGAAGAGAGGGATGAGAGGGAAGGTCCCAAGAGAGTCCCCAACCAAGGAAAACCCCATAAGCACAAAGATTCCCTCCCTATAGGAACCCCAACTTTGACATTTGTCCCTTCCCAACCAATCCATCCAAGTTGGCCACCCTTGCCAACCTAGCTTGGTTGTTCCCAACCAATTTGCAGCTGTTACAGTAGAGTGACAAGTTTCCCCAACCCCAAAGGTCCCAACTCCATATAAAGTCACCCCACAACTTCACTTAGTAACCGCCGCAATTGTAACGCAAGCTCATGAACTTTGAATCTTCATAGCTTTCGCGTTCTTGCTCCGATTGAAGCGATTCTTGTTGCGTCGGAAAGATCTTCTCAAGATCTATTATCACAAATACCTGCTCAGACAGAATAACACAAAACACATTCCCAAACTCCAGAACACACCACACACAAATGCTTGCACATTCAAACCACACATGCAAGTTGAAAAAAACATGGGATGGGAGGCAGACAGAATGTGATAGCATATGATGACATCACACAACAGACACGGCTGCTCAGCTACTTCTTCTTGTTCGGCTTCTTCAACAACGTCAAGTTCATCAGCGGCAAGACCACTTATCTCTCCCCAAAGTGGTGCTGGAGTTCCTTGAAAGGCTGCACGGGTATTATAAAACGTTCGCCACGCGGTGGCACTTTCATCGGCGGTATTGAACTCCCAGGTATCCAAAGCAGTAAGTACGGCGGCTGCAGTTCGAGAAGCTGTTGGTACAGTAGTTGCTTGAAATTCAATGTCCACGTGTTGGTAATCTGTTTCTTCTGGGTGATCCCAGGGACCAAGTGCAAGGACGCGTTCAGAATCGCCAGAGGTTCCCTGTGCTGCGAACTGAAGAACGGATACGCCATGTTGAGTGGCGGCACGACCAAGATAAGTATTCGTAGAACTGTGCCAGAGCCCCTGATCCATCGTGTCACAATTGCCCTGTGTGCGGATTTTGTGTGCAAGGAGTTGAGCCGTGGAAAGAAGATTGAAGCCAAGACCGGCGACGATGAGAACATTAGTAACATGAAGTGAGTATCCCGTGTCGATAGATTGGAGCATGACGCTTCAAACTACTCGTGCCATAATGGTTTGTCCGTTTGCGACTGTTACAGGTATCGGACGACGAAGTGGACGCTGATTGGTAATGAAGCTTGTTTCTGCTGAGCACATGTGCCAACCGCAGCAACTGTCAAGATACCAGGTATTCGGACCTGAAATTATTCGAGCGAGGTTAGCGTAAACTTGAGGTAAAGGAATGCCTTCAGAGCTTGTGGTTTCTTCAAGTCGTGTCTCGAAATCTGTTTCTGAAATATCAACTGTTGTAACACAACCAAAAACCCCTTTTCCTGATGTGGCAGATGCGAAGATTGGCAGGCGATGCTGCGACGTTGATGAATTATGCGACGGTTTCGGCATCTGCTGCTGCTGAGGCGTCAACTGCTGCTGTGGCTGTTGTGTCTTCGGTAACTGCTGCGACCGGTGATACGGCTGCGAAGTGCTGCGACGAGTTTGATGACGGCTGCGACAGTTTTTGTAAGTATGTCCTGGTTTCTTACAAAAGTGGCAGAATGGATACTTTGGTGGATGTCCATGCTGTTGTTCTGGATTGGAGTAAAAACTTAATTGAAGTCCCTTTTTTCTGATTTCGTTGTGATTGCAGGTCAAGATCTTGCTGCTCTGCTTGAAGATAAGAAGAAATTTCGGCTTCGGAGAGATTAGGATTCATGCGCAGAAAAGCGCGCGGCTGTTGCCATTCGGGTCCAAGACCAGCCAGAAGTACCATGAGATACATCTCACGAGGGAAGTATCCTCCGCTCTTTTCCAGTTGATCTCGTAGTGTACGGACACGGTTAACGTAGTCCATGACGTTTTTGTTTGTCATCATCTGCACACTTGTCAGCTGCGAAAGTATTTTACTCACTGTTATCGTATCCTTTGCCATGTATACCCCCTTTAGATGATTCCATGCAGTTTCGGCTGGTGTGAAACTTGAGTGAAATGATCGAACGCCGAGCTGCTCCTTCGGCGACAGGTTCCGTACAAGAAATGTATACGCCGCGAGAGAGGCGTGCAAGAAACTTTGCTGCTCCAGTTGTGTTCCCACGACAGGGTACGTAAATTCGCCAGTGAAGAACGGCCATAATCCAGCGGACTGCACCAGAAGTTCAAACTCAAAGCTCCAGGAGTAGAAGTCAACACCATTAAAAGGTACGGTTGTCTTGATCTGAGTATTGTTAAGTAAATTTCGAGGCTGAAAAACAATGCCTGGTTGTTGCTGTTGCTGTTGTTGTTGTTGCTGCTGTTGTTGCTATTGCTGTTGCTGTACTTGCTGTGGTTGCTGATGCTACTGTTGTTGTTGCTGAGCAAGAGAACGACCGAAGATATAGAAAGGATGCTGAAACTGCTGCGACTGCGGCTGCTGTACGAAAGGTGAGAAAGTGAACGAACCAGTACTTGGAGCTGTAGCTCCACGCATGTAACTTGAGCCATCAAGGCTCATTCCACTGAACGCATATGAAATCGATTGCGTTGAAACTGGTGGCTGTACTGACGCTTGTTGATGTGTTGTTGTTGTTGCGCTGCAGGTGCTGTCGATGGAGCACCTAGAGTATTTACAGAAGGCGGATTCTGTTGTTGCATACCGATATTAGCATAGGCTGGTGGAGAGTGCCCAGAGGCTGAGAGACCAGCGGCGGTAGTGGAGGCATGTGCTCCAGTAGTCCCAGTAACTGATCCAGCAGTTGGTGCTGGTGATGAACCAGTCATAGTTGACGGTAGTCTTAATTCTTGATAGCTCTCATACCATGAAATAAATTGTCTGATGTTGTAGAAGACTAAGTATAAAACTGTAAACACGAACACTTGGCAAATCCTCAAGTGCTGGTCGAGGATCTTTGCTGGAATGGTAGACTAGTAAGACAGCGGAAGTCTTGTAAAATAAAAAAGGTCAAGGTTTGAATAACCTGTGTACGTGAACTTGTGAGTAATCAAAGTTAATAATGAAAAGACCTAACAAGTATTTATACTTCTATGAAAAGTACCTATTCGCTAATGTACCTGTTCGTCACTATCGCGCTATGCGCCCTAGATGATAATGAAGAGGTGCGACTGTTCGCGTGACTGAAACGACTGTCCTATGACAAGTGCTATTTGCTGACGTCATCCTACGGACTTATCTTCTACAGTATGATTTGACACTAACTACACTTAATCGACTTACAGAAATGCTAAGTATCAATTATATCACAACAGTTTCCAGACCTCGCTTCGATACATCGAGGCCCTTCGATACTTTTCCCGTACCTTCCGATCCTACGTCCAGGGTCACCCTAGTTTTCCTATATATTGTGTTGTCTTTGATTTTATTGTCATTCACTCGTTCACAGTTTCGCCATTGCCCTCCGCGCTACTCGGCAGTTCCATTGCTGGACGGACGCAATGATGGGTGAACGTCAGCGCGTCACGAAAACGTCGGGTATTTTCCGAGTGGGAATTCTTCAAGTTTTTTGCTGGAGTGGGAGCTGCGATCACGGGAACCTACCGAGCCGTGCGATGGTTTAATATCAGCAAGGTTAGTCGGTTAAACTGCAGAAAATGAGCGTTTCGTAGCTGAGAACTGTGCCCGAGTTTTTGTAGGGTACCTGCCATAGCCGCGCGATGGGTGAACATCTGCACGGCGAACCGGTCAGGTGGGGTTACGAAAATTTCTACAGCGGATAACAACACGAAGCAGATCGGCGGCAGTTGAGAAAATGAATATTTATCTACGGCATCGGACAGAGCCAGATTCTACGCGGCGCATCTGCCCTGCGTTATAGGGTCGCGCTGAGACTGGTCTCGACGAATAGAGTTTGAAGATACTTCAGTTTTCTGGATCTGAAGAAACTTGAAGCAGGGTATTTTCAGCATCGACCACATAAGATTTTCTTTTCATAGAAGGGGGAGAGAGCAGCTGTGCAGCGGTTGTTTTGTTTTATTATTTTCCCTCGACAATTAGCATCTGCTGCATTAGCATCGACGGACAGATTCTGTTTGACCGACTCAATCGACGGACAGATTCGAGCTGGCCTTTTCGAGAATTTCGCAGGTGTTTGCGAAATGTGAAGGCGTGTTTACATTGACCGCCTGAGGCAACATTGACTACTGTTACTGGACTGATTGAGCCTTCGTCCTTGTGCTGATGGACTTAACCGACTTTCGTGAGACACGGACGTGAATTCTCGCATGTGTCGCAAATGACCTCGCATTTGACAAATTTAGCAGTTCTCGGCGAAGGACTCACTTGAGAGAAGGAAGCTCTAGTGTGGTAGATAAGCACAAGGCGTACGAGGGTTGTTCCTGACTGAGGCTTGCTACAAGGCGTACGACTCGAACAATCCCGAACCAGCGATAGGGTTCCAGACCTTTCAATTCGAGACTCCTGGGCCTTTCCGGACCTTGCTTCGACACATCGAGGCCCTTCGATACTTTTCCCGTACCTTCCGATCCTACATCCAGGATCACCCTAGTTTTCCTATATATTGTGTTGTCTTTCATTTTATTGGCATTCACTCGTTCACAGTTTTGCCATTGCCCTCCGCGCTACTGGGCAGTTCCATTTATAACATATTCCTTACCGGGTTGTACTGCAATCGCGTACACCCTAACTTCCGGAAGACCAGGCTCGGTCCGATTCCGACACAACCCCGAGGCTGGCTCGCGCCGCCTTCGGCCCTTCCGACCGCGCCTGTACCCAACCTAGCCATTCGGGCTCGTCGCCTAGCTAGGGTCCTCGCTGTATAATGCTAGGCTCTCATTCTTGTACTCGTCATTATGATTCCGCGCACTCTCAATTACTATTCATAACATCTGATATCAGAGCTACTTTCCTGGTTCACCCTGCTTTCTCAGAATATTTTAGTCCCAAGGTGTGGTTAACCCTGCGGGGCTGCAAAATGGTTGTCCGTGAGCTAGAGTTATTAGCTCACACGAGTACGATAGCGTTTGCGCCCCCTGCGGTTTCTTACCACGCCCTTCCCCCTGCCCGAAAGGCGTAGCATTCACATCATGACACAGGCCCAGCTCAACGGGTTCATGGCTCAGATGCAGGCAATGCAAGCCCAAATGGCGATTTTGAACAGTGAAGTCATGAGACTTCGGACGGAGAACACTGAGCTTCGCCAGACGCGTGGTAAAGCGCGTCAGGAGTCGCCTGGATTCGCAGAGAATGATGTCAAGCAAGAAGCCAATGACGCGGCGAGCGAAACCGTTCTTGACGAGCTCGCACGGGAGTTGGAGCAGGACGACGTGCGCACTGTGACTGTGACGAAGATTAAGCTCAAGCTGGCCACGCCACCCCCGTTCAACCCTTCGGACAAGGCGACAACGGTACAAGGGTGACTGTTCAGTATGGAGTTACTCTTTACGGCTGTGAGTGTGCATGCAGGCGACACGCGCATTAATTATGTCGTGTCACTGCTCCGAGGACCGGCGTTGGATTGGTGGCGGCGACATTTGGCAATTGGGACTCCGGCAGATGTGAAGCAGGCGAAGGACGGGACTTTGGATTCTTCCAACTAACAGGCAGAACCGATATTCAGTACGACCACGATTCGCATGTGGAAACAGTAGGGCACAGCCATGTGAGCTCGTTTTAAGCACTCATCCGCCTCATCGCATGAAGCTGTGCAACAGGCGGCAAGTGACTACTGTTCAAGATTACACTTCGTCGTTCTCGTCACTTGCGGACCAAGTGGACGACCTCAGCGAAGTACATCAGCGGGCTGCATTTTGATATTCAGTACGAGTTGCAGTGGTCCCGGCCCAAGACGTTCGATGATGCTGTCCAGCTGGCGTCAAGCAGTCGGTGCACTGCAGTAGTGGGCGAGAAAGAACAACAGGGATGTTGGTCGTTTTCGTGGACAGTCTCCCCGCCCCACGATCAATGGCGTGTCTGCGCCCGATGAAGTATTTCACAGGCTATATTATAGATGTGACAAGCCAGGTCACCGAGCTAAGTATTGCCCGACGGCGCCCAAGACGACGAAGAAGGACAATCGGGAAAAGTCAGTAGCAGACGGGATCCCTACTGACGAGACTTAGTCACCCGAACTTCAGCGTTCCCACCAAGTTGTGGTACCGATACATGCTATACACCGCACTAGGACGAATAACAGGAGTGAACCTGAAGATCACCCAATACTGGTCAAAGGCAAGATGAATGGCAAAAAAAATAAGTTATTTGTGGATGGCGGGGCTAGCCACAGCCTGATCCACGTGACTGCAACGAAGCAGTTGAAGCTGACATTGGATAAATGCTTACCCAAAATTGACGCGCAACTGGTGGATGGGACGCCACTTGCGATTCGAGAACGAGCGCGCATGGTACGTATGAAGTGTGGCAACGATTTCGGATTCAGCATGCTTGCGACAACGCTGGACGGCTGCAGCGTCCTTCTTGGATGCGATTGGCTGCAAAAATATAACCCGAGGATCGACTAGACAATTGGCGAATGCAGAGTGAACTGTGCGAATGGGTGGCGCGTACTTCCGTGCTGGCGCGGGTGAGATCCGATGTCGACACGTGTCAACACCATCACCCTCCAACGAGCAGTGAAACGGGGAGCTGATTTGTACACCGTCCATCGAGCTGAAGCGACAGACAACGACACGCCAACGGACATTGACACACTTTGTGTCAGTGTCCCTAACGAGCTCACTGCGCTTATTCAACAGTACTCGGATATCTTTCCGGATGACCTGCCAGCCGGATTGCCATTTGAGCGCTCCCAAGACCATAAAAATTCACCTGGAACCTGGCACGTAGCCAACCGTCAGGACACAGTGGCGGCTAACTCTGCCTGAACTCACGGAGTTGCGAAGCCAGCTGAATTACCTGCAGGAGAAGGGGTTCATTCGACCCAGCACGTCCGCGTTCGCAACGCCCATTCTGTTCATGCCCAAAAAAGATGGAGGGCTACAAATGTGCATTGATTACCGAACGCTGAACCGGCGAATCATCAAATCTCGCTACCCAATCCCACGCGTGGATGATCTCCTGGACCAACTTCACGGGGCTCTCTTCTTCTCGAAAATTGACCTGCGAGGCGGTTACCATCAAATCCGAGTTTTCGCTGACGACTGCCACAAGACGGCGTTCTGAACCCGCTACGGCAGCTACGAGTACACAGTAATGCCTTTTGGTCTCACGAATGCGCCCTCTACATTCCAACTGACCATGAATGGCGTGTTCCGCGATCTACTCAACAAGTGTGTCATCGTCTATCTGGATGACATTCTGATCATCAGCAAGACCTGGGAACAACACCTCAAGGACCTCGACCAGGCCTTTCAACGGCTGCAGCAGAATCGGCTCATCACCAAGGGGTCTAAGTGCGAGTTCCTAAAATCAGAACTGGAATTTTTAGGACACGTCATTGGAGGAGACGGCATTAGAAAATTACCACCATCCGCGACCGGAAGCCGCCCACGAATCACCTAGAGCTGCAGATTTTTCTCGAGTTCGTTAATTACGTTAGGCGATTTATCCCCAATACGGCAGAGACAACCGGACCTTTAACTGACCTGCTGCGGAAAGGCACTCCGTTTGAGTGGGAGGAGAGACAGCAGGTTGCTTTTGACGAACTCATAATTTTTCTGATGTCGCCCCCGGTCCTCCAAATCGCTGATCCATCTCGACCGTTCGAAGTCTTGACGGACGCTAGGGATTTCGCCATCGGCGCGGTACTGTCACAAGATTTCGGCGACGGACTCCAACCAATCGCGTACGAGTTCCGGAAATTGCAGGCAGCCAAGCGCAACTACCCCGTCCACGGCAAAGAAATGCTCGCCATAGTGCACGCGCTCAAAGTATGGCGCTGCTACCTGAGGGGAGCCGACGTGACAGTACGGACAGACCACAAACCCATACATTTCCTCCGCGTGCAGTCGACCCTCAACCCACGACAGATTCGCTGGCTGGATTTTCTGGAGAGCAACTTCCACTACACAATTGCGTACAAATGAGGGGCGAATAACATCGCCGATGCACTCATACGACCATCTGCCCACCTTGCCTCCATCATCATTGCAAAATCCAACCCACTACTCATCGGACTATTTACCCACGGATACGGCACAGACCCCTTTTTCACCCGCAACCTCCACCAGCAAACCACCACGGCCAAAGGAATTTATTTCCTAAAATCTAGTACCGACCACATATGGGTTCCCGCTTACCGACTCCTCCACGAATTATTGATTCAAGAAGTCCATGATTCTAACCTATCCGGTCATTTAGGGTTTGATAAAACCCATAAATTACTCCTTTATTTTTATTAGTGGTCAGATTCGTCGTCTGATGTGCAGAGATACGTATCGGCATGCCCGACCTGCCAGCGCATGAAGTCCTCTCGACTGGTCACCTGGACTGCTGCAACCGCTCGAGCCACCCCAGAAACCGTGGCAATACGTGACGATGGATTTCGTCACGGGACTCCCGTCCGACGCAAGTGGCAACGATGCCGTCCTCGTCGTCGTCGATCGCCTAACAAAGATGGCGCATTTTGCACCCTGTCGTATGACAATAACAGCTGAAGAAACAACCAAGCTCTTCATCTCCACCGTTGTTCATCTGCACGGCCTACCATCGGCGATCATCAACGACCGCGACCCCAAGTTCACATCCAAGTTCTGGCAAGAGACATGGGAACAGTACGGCACCCGCCTGCAATTCTCGTCCGCCTACCACCCACAAACCGACGGACAGACCGAGCGCACCAATCAGACCATGGAGCAACTGATACGCACCAATTGAACCGATCCCGCCATGTGGGAAGAATTCCTGCCCATGCTCGAATTTTCCTACAACAACGCCCTATCCGTAACAACTAATCACTCGCTGTTCTTCCTCAACTACGGGATGGATCCCACTGTACTCATGACAACTAACCTCGACAACCGTGTGCCCCGTTCCTAGAAGTTTGTTAACGACCTACAGACCGCCCGAAAGAGCGGTCGAATTTATTCGCAAGTCCAACACGATAGCCCGACGCTACACCGATCTTTATCTCCAAAATATTACGATGGCCGCTGGGCAACTAGTCCTTCTCGACACGAAGAACCTCCACCTGCCCCTGCCATCCAAACTCCGCCCAAGATTCTGTGGGCCTTTCCGCATCCTCGAAATAGTGACACCTGTCACGGCGAAATTATTACTCCCGGACGAGTGATGCCGTGCTTTGCAGAACCGCCACCTTCCAGCAAACCGCCACCTTCGCCGAACCGCCACCTTCCAGCAACGAGAACTGGAGACAGAACCTGTGGAGGATTTGCTGCACCATATGGGACTGGGAGAGTGTGATCGTGCAAGTGGCATGGTCACGAGAGATCTCCAAGCCCAGATAGCGCCTCAACACCCCCAAGTCTGTACAGGTGTGCCTCCTAAGCAACTCGGCCTTCACTGAAGCCAGTTTGAATCTGTCAAGAGTAGCAAAGATAAGATCGTCTACGTACACTAGGATATAGAACAGGGCATGGCCCGTGCGAACAAAGAGAGAGGGGTCAGCAGAGGACGGGAAAAACTGCAGCTCAGCAAGAGTGGTGCATGTCGTGCCACTTACGAGGTGCGTGATGAAGGCCGTAGACAGGGCGGCGCAGGCTCCGCTCGGTCCCTGGTGGGAAGGACCCAGAGAAGCCTCGAGGGCGCCGTAGGTAGATTTGCTCGTGCTGACTAACCTGCAGGTCAGCTGTAGAGAAGTCGAGTGAGGGAAGCTCGTAGCCACACTGTGCAGCTAGGTGGAGGAGCACCCGAAGAGTAGTAATCTTCAGGCTTGGGGAGAAGGTTTGGAAGAAGTCCACACCCTTCTGCTAACTGAAGCCTCTAGCCACTTAACGCACATTGAACTTCTACAGCTCTCTAGGTGCGTGCTTCACCCTGTAGATCCACATGCCATCGACTACGTTCGCCCCAGGTAGGGGAACTGTGTTGACGTAAGTGCCTGTGGATCTGTAGGATGCCATCTTAGCCTCCATGGTCTGTATCCACTGGGCTGCCCAGGGTCCCGACACCGCCTCAGCGTAAGAGTGCGGAATATGGATGTTGAGGGCGTCTGGGTCGCCCTCTGGGGATACAAGCATGGAGCGAAGATGGGATACAGCGGCAGCAAGGTAGGCCAACTCGTACTGCATGTCCTCTAGCACTGCCAAGGGCAGGTGCACCCCTGATGGACGGAGAACCGGCAGTACCAGAGACCAGAGCGGCAGCGTAGTGGCTAGCAACAAAGTCAGCAACAACAGTGACAAGTGCAGAGACGGTCTCAGGAGGCGCAGTAGGGTCAGTGACAAGCGATGCAAGCAAACGCGAGAGGGTAGGACGAGCAGTGTGAGCAGAGTCAGAGGGAGGATCTGAGGACTGCGATAGCGACGACAGAGGAGGTAACGAAAGCATTAGAACGAAAGATCATAGGGTGGAAACTACGACGGGGAGAGACATGACAAGCACTAGAGGGACGACGGACCCAGTGGGGAAGAACTAGGGACCGGGGACGAGGGAGACAGGGGGACAAGTCAGGGTACGGAGGAGAGCGCGGGGGAAAACGAGCCAGAGAGGAGTCCGGAGGAGGGAATAGTGGGCCATAAACAAGGTCACGCACCGGAGGAGGGACGGGCAGGCGGTCAGGGGAACTGGGTGCAAGACCAAGGAGACGAAGAGTAGACTACGGCTGCTCCTGTTGCTGCGGTGGCAGCTCCTGCTGCTGCTGCGGCGGCTACTGCTGCTCCCCCGTCCTCTCAAGAACCTCCAGCTACACCTTGGCTACCACCGGTACTCCCTAAAATAGCACCCCCAGGACTAGCACCCTTGGACGTACCACCCACAGAATCAGCACACCCAAAGTCAGTACTCCCAACATCGATGCCTCCAACACCAGCACCCCCAATACCAACACCTCCAACACCAGAACCCCCAGAACCAGCACCCCCATAGCCCATAACTCCCTTCTGCTGCTGCTGCTGCTGCGGCCGCTGAGTCTGCTGCTGTTACGGATGCTGCTTCTAAGGCAAGGGGGGAGGCGGCTGAGGTGCCTGGGGTACCGAGGCCTGGGGAGGTGCCACAAGGACAGCAGGCGCGCCCCCAGCAGCTGGGCCCCCAGAGTGAGCCGACTCCCCCACGGGCGCAACTTAGGGGAACTAAGTGGTGTAGGAGACACCAAACTAGGCCAGGTGGGGTGGGAGGGGTGCAATAGGCGGGGCACAGGAAAGAGAGGAGAAATAAAGAGAAAGAGAGGAGGAGGAGGCACAGGAGCGCGACAGTGTGGGAAGCGCCCGTATTAGGGGAGCGTCTCGTCGAAGGTAACTTCACGAGAGTAGTAGAAGCGGTGGTGCGACGGGTGGTAGAACAGCCAGTCAAGGGCGTCAAGCAGAAACCCTAGGAAGACACAAGGAAGGGTGGGGGCTGAGAGCTAGTCCGCGTGAGTATCGCAGATGTGAGCAAGGCTGCCCCAGACATGGAATGCAGTTGCATCACCAGGAGACCCGGTCCTGAGAAGGGTCGGCGAAACCAGTGGCTGCTGGGAGCGCGGCCAAAGGTTAAGCTGGTGAATAGCGTAGCGCACAACGAACGGCCATAGAAAATGGGGTGCACTGGCGTGGACCATGGAGGTGAGGGATACCTCCATGACCAGCCCAATGCGTCCCTCAGGGACCCCATTCTGCTACGGGGAGTCTGGTAGTGTGTACGTCTGGCGGATGTTCCCCGCACAACAAAACTGACCTAGAGTGCCAGAGGCGAATTCGGCTTCGCGGTCAGAGTGTAAGCAAAATACAGGCTAGCGGTGCTAGGTGTGAAATATAAGAAACCATGGGAGGAGAACGGAAGGCACGTCGGCCTTCCGCTCCAACAAGAACACTGTAGTGAAGTGCAAGAATTCGTCAACGACGACTAGGAAGTAGCGCTCCTGACTAAGACCATGGACCGGGGCAGGGCCCCAGAGTCCATGTGAAGTGTCTGTAGCGGCGCTATAGTCGGAGGAAACGAGGAGGAGTGAGGGGTGGCGCGCTGCCGGCCCTCGACGCAGGAGGTGCACAGTGGTGCGACTGAAATAGGCAAGGCGAGGAGCAACGTAGGGAGACCAGTGACTAGGCTGTGCTAGGACATGTGCCTAAGATGCTGGACTGCAGGGTGACGTAAGCGGTGGTGCCGCAGAAGGGTCGGATGGGTTATTGAGTAACAGGAACAGGACACGACGACCTCAGCAGTTGCAGCAACATGCGGTGACTCAGTGTGCAGGGTAAAGAGACCGGACCCTGGGTTATGCTCAAAGGTGGCCAGGTGGCGACCGGTGGCTGTGTCTATGTAGTCCGCGTGGCGCTCGCGGCCAAGGAACGTAGTGGTGACTCCTCGGTCCTGGAGATGACCGACACCCACAAAGTTCCTGGCAAACAAGGGGATGTGCAGACCGGCGAGGGAGCCGGAGGGTACATCTATACAGGGGAGTGTGGTGGCACTGCGTGCGACAGCTGTGGCTGATGAGTCTGCTAGTGCGACGCGGACAGGTGCAGGAAGCGGAGTGAGAGCAGTGCTATCTATAAAGAAGCAACGCGACGTGCCAGAGTCTAGGATAAGGGAGAGGGCCGACGTGGCAGGGCCCAATGAAGGATCGTTAACAGAGCCTACGCCTGACGCAGCAGGGGAGTCTACGCCTGAAGAAGCAGGGGGTTCTAGACTACACAGGGCAGTAGTTCCTAGGTTACACACAGCAGGATAATAAGAACCAGTAACACTAGAGTCACCAGCATACAGAGAAAACAAAGCATGACCTATCTGAACGTTATCCAAATCAAAGATCAGAACACCACAATGAAACAACGTGGGCCAGTGGGGTACGTGCACCAGGGGGCTGTAGTGGCGACAGTAGAGGATGTCCAGGTGGCGGTAGCAGCGAGCGGTGGCGTGCCCCGCACGCCCGCACACCTGGCTTGCCTACGGGCCGGTCAGCACTTGGCACGTGCAGGTCTCCGCGCCTCAAGAGCCACCAGCACCCTGGCTCATAGAAGAGCCACGCGACCCCCAGGGCACCGACTGCCCTAGGGCCCAACCCCTACGGCCTCCGCCACGACCACCACCCCCAGGGCCCGCCAGCCCCCACAGCAGCAGCTGCTACTGCTATTACTGCTGTGGCTGCTCTGCTGCTGCTGCGCAGTCCCCGAATCCGACTGACCACCCTCTCCGTCCGCACCTGCACCCCTGCCATCCGCTGCTGCCGACCCCCCATGACCCCTGCCCCCCCCCGCCCTTGCCCTTGTAGCCAAAAGAGCGGCCGGAGGCAGAGGCAGCCATTGCAGTCTCGGCGACGGCGGCGGAGGGAGGAGGGAGAGTCACCTGAGAGGAAGCACTGCCCTGAAATATAGGGACTGCCGGCGCGCCTGTGGAACCAGCGATGGCGCGGAGGCGGTCCTCTACCTCAGTCAGGGAGGTGGAGAAGAGGTCAAGGGTGAGCTCAGAGGGGTGACGAGTGAGGAGCACGTTGCGGGCAGGGGCAAGGCGGTCAGGGAGGCAGGTGACAAGGAAGTAGATAGTGGCATAGAGGGGGGGAGGGATGAGGGTCAGCTGGGCCTCAGTATAGGCCGCACGCCAACAGGCCTCGAGGGAGCACAGTTGCTCAACTAAGTCTGCTATAGTGGTGAAGGACGTCACACCGAGGTGGAAGAAAGGGAGGAGGAGACGACCAAGAGTGGCAGACGAGGGGGTGGAGTACCCAGCGAGGATAGCCAGCCAGAGGGCGCGGGCTGATGCAGCACCCACAAGGTGGGAGTGCTCGTCAACTGGCAGGCACCTGAGGATGGCGACACGAGCAGTGGCGTCGCGGGATGCCCAAACAGAGTAGGTGGAACGAGCGGCAGCGTGCACAGCCTGCTGCGCAGATGTCGCGTCAGCAGCAAGAGCACCCGGGCGGGGGCTAGCAGGGAGCTCACCGTCAATGCACGGCGTCCAAGTACTCACCGTCAATGCACTGACTCATGAGCTGAAGGAAAAATGCCTCCTGCCAAGCGACGAAACAACTGCCCGCCCCTCCCCATCCAGGCGCAGAACAAAGGTGCTGGGTGACGCCATGCTAGCAGCTGTGGTGGCTGCTGCGGCTGTGAAAACGGATGTGGCAGAAGTAGGGACAGCTGTGGCAGCTGCTACAGGGCCAGCAGGAACAGGTGCTGCAGTGGGAACCGGTGGCAGCGGCAGATGCTAGCTGGTGGCAGGGTGGCGACAGCAGCGGGCCAGCGGTGAGCTGGCTGGCGGCGGCGGCTGCAGGCTAGCCGCGGGAGTGGCGGCAGCAGCGGTTGCAGTGGCAGTGGCTGCTGGCGGCAAGAGTAGCTGAAGTGGCTGCTGCAGCAGGAGCGGCGGCAGCGGGAGGATCCGTGGCAATGACAAGAGCGGTGGCAGTGGTGGCTGCAGTGGCAGTGGCGGCAGCGAGAGAGCGACGGCGGCAGCAGCGGCAGTGGCGGCTGCAAGGGCAACGGCGGCAGGGGGGTCTGCAAGGGCAGCGGCAGCAGTGGCAGCTACAAGGGCAGCGGCGGCAGTGGCGGCTGCAAGGGCAGCGGCGGCAGCAGCAGCTGCAAGGGCAGTGGTGGCAGTGGCAGCTGCAAGGACAGCGGCAGCAGCAGCAGCTACAAGGGCAGCGGTGGCAGTGTCGGCTGTAAGGGCAGCGGCGGCAGCGGCACCTGCACGGGCAGCGGCGGCAGTGGCGGCTGCAAGGGCAGCGGCACCAGCGGCAGCTACAAGGGCAGCGGCGGCAGTGGCGGCTGTAAGGGCAGCGGCGGCAGCAGCAGTGGCGTCAGCAGCTGGCGGCTGCAGCGGCAGTGGCTGCAGGAGCTGCCGCAGTGGCAGCGGCGGCAGCGGCGAGGCAGCAGCACCTGCAGCAGTGGCAGCAGTGGCAGCGCAGGCTGCTGCAGCGGCAGTGGCGGCAGCGGCAGTGGCTGCAGTGGCAGTGGTGGCTGCAGCGGTTGCGGCAGTGGCAGCGGCTGCAGCGGCAGGTGCAGCAGTGGCGGCGGCAACGGCAGTGGCTCAGACAGCAGCAGTAGCGGCGGTAGCGGCAGCAGCAGTGGCTGCAGTGGCAGTGGTGGCTGCAGTGGCGGCGGCTGTCTGGCGACTAGCTGGCAGCAGTGGTTGGCGGCGAGCTGGTGGACGCTGCTGGCAGCTAGCTGGCTGGCGCTAGTGGCGTCGAGCTGGCTTATGCGGCTGGCTAGCTAGCTGGCTAACGTGCTGGCTAGCTGACTGGTGTGTTGGATGGCGTGCTGGCGAGCTGGCAGCTAGCTGGCTGGTGAGACACACGAGGGGCGAGCAGAGGCTGGCGATGGCCAGCAGGCACAAAACAGAAGGCTAAGGGCAGGACTCCAGGCTGGTGCAGGTGGCGCGGGCGAGCTAGGAAGCTAGCTGGCTGGCTAGCTGGTTGGCTAGCAAGGTGGCTAGGTGGCTCGCTGGCTGGCTGGCTGGTGTACGAAACAAGGGGAACGCTAGAGGGGGGAGGTTTTGAGACTATGGGGCACGAAATAAGAGAGGGAGACATGCGCTAGAAAAAGAGAGTCTACAGTAACGGCAGAAGCGTGAGTAATGGCGGAAAATATTCTAACCTAGCTCAATACGATGTTAGAGTAGCGGGAAAAAGTGTGACTAGGAAGGGGGGAGGGGAGATACAAGTACAAAATATTGTCCCCTCTAAGAACTGATATGTGTATACAGAACATGTGTTTGTTGACAAGCATGAGGTAGCAAACCCAGAGATAGGCTATCAGATAAATGGCTGGAGGTGATGAGGGGTTGGTTAGTGATAGGGGAAAATTTTAATCATGTCCGCCATCAGCATGTGCATACAATGCTAGTAAGTCATGAGATTGAGTATGATGCATAGGTGTGAGTCTGTGATCAAGGTCAGTGTTTATGCGTTAATCTATCGATGGAGTCATGTGTTAGTGTACATTCGTAGCGGGTGTCGGCCCGTTTCGTGGCAGAGAACTCACGGTGTTGACGATAACACATCAGCAAGATTGCTGATGTGGCGATTTTCCCGTCGCTCATTCCCTCACAGCAGTGTGGGTTGTCATACGCTACGAATGTACAATGCGTAAGTGCTAGCATCTCTAGTTTTTCCATGTGTTGTCATGAGGTTGGCATGATGTTCATCATCCTTCGGCATATCAAATAAGCACAACATACTAGTTTTGAGACGTCTCGGAATCCGTGTGATAATAGTATTGTTCTAAGACGTCTCAAAACATACCAGATGAGCACAGCATACTTTATTCTTAATGTATATAGACTTTCCACCTCGAGTGTGATCCACCCCCAGTGTGACCCACCTCGCATGTGACTCACCTCGTATGCGGCCCACTTTATGTGTGACCCACATCCTATGTGACCCACATCGTATGCGACCCACCTCGTATGCGACCCACCTCGTGTGCGACCTACCTGGTGCCAGAGGAGTGCAATAGTGCACGCCTCAAGCACCTCAGCATGCAACAACCCTAAATCTGTAACCCTGTTCTTTGCACCAAACAAACCACAACTCAGCACTGATTTTGAGTCTATTTATTACTGTAGCTAACCCTGCTCATTTACAGTGACGGAAACAATTGTCCGGATGTTTTGCATTAATTAGGGTTTTTTAGCTTTCCGTCCTGTGTACATAAACTCTTAATATTTAATGGTGGTATGCTTTGGGAGGGGCACATACTGGATGTATTCACGGTGCTAAATTCCATAATAGTACACAGGATCTAACTTAGTGCCAAAAGATATACAAAGAGTACATCCGGACAATTATTTCCCAGGACAAAGAGCAAACTTCCGAGCAGCGTTTCTAGTACCTAGTCCACCAACACTTGGCATTGATAACCACCTGCAACCTCCTAGGCATGTTATCTACGAAGTTAGTGCAAACCTTTACAGGGATCTTCTCGCACTCTTCCTAGACCCACCCTTTAACATAAGGGGGTGAGCACAAGGAAAATCGCGTGCATGACCGTGGCATTGAGAATCCACGGCTGCTGCGCTGCATATGCCACGTGCCCCCTGCTGCTGACATACATAGCGCCGTCCACATACTGCATCTCCTCGAGAATGGCCTGGAGGAGCGATGACTTGCCGCTGCCCACAGCCCCTGTCACTGCCACCACCGCGCCTCTCTCCACTCGCAGACACACTCGCTGCAGGCAGAAACCTGCTCTGGCAGCAGCAGCAGCAGCAGCAGGCTCTTGTGGATCATTCAGCACCCCTCCCTGATCACCCTCCTTGCCCACTCCTTGCATGCATTCTGGCTGAACGTCCCCAGTAGCCTCGTCCCCATTCGTCTCCTCTTTCCCCGTGTCCTCTACTCTGCTCCCACCCTCCTCCCCACCGGCCCTCCCCCATTTCCGTGCAAGAACCCTCTTCCTCCACAGCCCTCTCGCCCCTTGCCGCTTCTCCCCCCCTGCTGCCTCCTTCTGGTCGCTGGACGGCAGCTTCCAGGAAAACGACACGTCTTGGAGAGCCACAACTATGCCCTCGGGTTCCACCTCTGCTTTCAGCTGCATGTGGCGTGGGATGGGACCATGGGAGGGCGAATGGAAAAGTGGAATCACAGGTGAGAGACGAGGTACACAGAAAGCCTGCACAACCCACAACAGAAGAGACAAAAACAGGCGAATTTCCCAGCCACAACTATGTCCTTGGGCTCCATTTCTGCTTTCAGCAGCATGTGGCGTGGGGAGGGATCATGGGAGGGTGAATGGAAAAGTTGGAGTGAGACATGTGAAACACGTAAGGCCAGCACACCGCACGACAGAAAGCTGGCACACCGCATGACAGAAGAGACAAAAACAGGTGGAACTTCCCAGCTGCCATCCACCCCACGACCACTCACCTCCAGCCTCTTCTCTTCCAGGCAGCCGCCCTGCCCTTCGGGCAGCGCGAGAAACTTTTCAAGCCGGTCAACAGCTACGACGGCCTCGCCAGCGAACTGCAGGCCGGTGGGGGCGATGAAGAAGATTCGGACCATAATGCTGAAGAGCGCCAGCACCGCGAAAGCTGTTTGGGGGGGCAGGTCCCCATGTATCGCGACATAGATGCCAAAGGTGGCCAGGGATGCCAGGGGGGTGACGGAGTCCTGATGGCAGGGGGGGACGAAGGGAAGGGCGCGATGAAGCAGATTCGCACCATGATGCTGAAGAGCGCCAGCACTGCAAAGGCCGTCTGGGGGGGCAGATCTCCGTGTATCGCGACATAAATGCCGAAGGTGGCCGGGGATGCCAGGGGCGTCACTGAGTCGTGGTGGGCAGTGGGGAACTGGATGAGATGAGAAGAGGGGTTGAGAAGAGGGGTTGAGAAGAGGGGTTGAGAAGAGGGGTTGAGAAGAGGGGTTGAGAAGTGGGGTTGAGAAGAGGGGTTGAGAAGAGGGGTTGAGAAGTGGGGTTGAGAAGAGGGGTTGAGAAGTGGGGTTGAGAAGAGGGGTTGAGAAGAGGGGTTGAGAAGTGGGGTTGAGAAGTGGGGTTGAGAAGAGGGGTTGAGAAGAGGGGTTGAGAAGTGGGGTTGAGAAGAGGGGTTGAGAAGAGGGGTTGAGAAGAGGGTTGAGAAGAGGGGTTGAGAAGTGGGGTTGAGAAGAGGGGTTGAGAAGAGGGGTTGAGAAGAGGGGACAGACGGGTGGGCTGGGCGCAATGGAGACGATGCACACACTGCTGCTGAAGAGGGCCTGCACTGCAAAGGACGTCTGAGGGTGGAGGTCGCCGTGTATCGCCATTGAGATGCCAAAGGTGTGAAGGGAGGCAGAGGGAGGTGCCGGGGTCCTGATGGTGTGGAGATGGGGGGGAGAAGGGCAGCGGGGAGGGGTGGGGAACGATGAAGTGGACAAGTGGAGGAGAAGGGAGTTATCATCATCATGATCATCATCATCATCATCATCATCATCATCATCATCATCATCATCATCATCATCATCATCATCATCATCATCATCATCATCATCATCATCATCATCATCATCATCCTCGTCCTCGTCGTCGCCGTCGTCGTCGATGTCGACGTCGTCATCGTCGCCGTCGTCGTCGCCGTCATCATCATCATCATCATCACATCATCATCATCATCATCATCATCATCATCATCATCATCATCATCATCATCATCATCATCATCATCATCATCATCATCATCATCATCATCATCATCATCATCATCATCATCATCATCATCATCATCATCAGTATCATCATCATCCCATCACAAGCTCCCCACCCTCTTTGTAGCCACCACCTCCTCCCAATTCGGCTCGTACTCCAACAGGGACACCGCCATGACATCAGACAAGAACATCCTCAATAGCCCCAACTTGACAGCTCTTAGTATCATCTTGGCACAAAAATCCGCGCTCACACTCCACAGTGACCATCGACTGGGATGCAACCGCAACTGATAGCTTCACAAGGTTGGGATAGGTGTCTTGTCAGTCAGGCATCTTCAACGTAGCTGTGATTCCAGCAAAGAAGCCAGTCACATTCTTTGGGGAAGTAAAGCGGATGGGGCAGAAGTTGCACAACTCTTTAATGGCATTGCACTCGTCTATCCCGGACAAATGCAAGGTAGAGGACACCACTAAAGCATTACAGGCAATCCATAATAGCACCAAGATAGACAAGTAATAACCAGCGGATGGTGTAAATGGCTGAAACAAAGACAAGCAGAGTCAACTCATCGGTACGATCTCCTTTGACAAATGCGCCCAGGTGCTTGAGGCAAAGTGTGTTGTGCTTCTGTTGGGGTAGTGGCCAGCCATCTGTGGCGCAGAGATGAGGTACAACAGCTGCAAGGAAAGCCAGCTCGTACTGCCTATCCTCTAGAACGTCATTGCCAAGGGCAGGTGCACCCCCGACGGACGGAGGATGGGAAGGGTCAAAGTCCATAGCGGAGGTGTAGTCAAGGCTGTAACGTAGTATGCGGCACCAGCGACGAGGGCAGAGACACCAGCAGGAGGAGCCATAGGGTCCGTCACAAGAGAGGCAAGCAAGCAGGAGACGACTGGACGAGCAATGCGAGGGAGGAGCAGAGGACGGTAGGGACAACTAGGGAGGTAACGGTAGGGCGAGGACTAGAGGAGCACGAGAACGACGAACCATAAGGTCGACACGAGTGCAAAGAGAGACAGGACGACCAACGGGGGGACGATGCAACCACGGATGGGCAACGGGGGATGGTACAGGGGACGGAGGAGAACAAGGGGGGAAATGAGCCGGAGACGAGTCAGGGGGAGGGAACAGTCGCAGATGGGGGGAGGCGGGAGGGGACGCGTTGTTGGAGGGATGGGCAGGCGGTCAGGGGAAAGGCCAGAGCCCCCAGCCCCACCACTACTACCGCCAATACGCTCCGAGCCAGCACCCCCAAGACTAGCACCCCTAGGATCAGCACCCCCAGAACCACCACCCCCAGGGCCCATGGTACCCGGCCGCTGCTCCAGGTGCTATAAAGCTGCGGAGGCTGCTGCTGTTGTGGCGGCCGCAGTGGGGAAGGCCGCTGAGGTGCCTGAGGCACCGGGGCTGGCAGGAGGGGAGCCATAGCTGCGGCGGGTGCACCCCCAGCCACGGGGCTCCCAGAGTCAGAAGACTCCCCTACGGACCCAACCGAGAGGAGAGGGGTTGCGTGGGAGGCATCAGACGGGGCCGGGTGGGGTGGGAGGGGAGCGGCAGGTAGTGCAAGAGTTAAAGGGTGATTCAAGTGGGCGGGGTGTGGTCGGCGAGTTGGGCCTCGGTGCACGCCGCACGAAAGCCAGTCTCGAGGGAGAGCAGGTGCGCGACAAGATCTGCCACCGTCGAGAAGGAGGCCAGGTCGGGGAAGAGGTTTGAGAGGAGGAGGCGGCCGAGGGTGGTGGAGGACGGGGTCGATTTGGGGGCGGCAAGCGCATCCCAGAGGGCCAGAGCCACCTCCTCTGACTCAAAGCGGGAGTGCTCGTCGACTGAGTGATGGTGACCTGCACGGCGGCGTTGCGAGACTCCCATATAGAGCGGGCAGTCCGGGCCACTGCATACTCCTCACGATGGCGTCGACGTCGCCTCGGGGCCAAGAGGATCAGTGTGAGGGGGGGGGGGAAGACGGGCAGCTCACCAGTGACGTGGCCCGCCAGTGACTCGCCCTCCACAGGCTGGGTCAGCAGCTGCTGGTGGAGAGAGGAAAGCCAGGCCGTGAACCCGATCGCTCGGCCTTCGGCGTCCAGCCGAAGGACGAACACCAACGCCGAGGGGGCCGCCATGCCGGCACGAGAAACCTACACGACACTTACCCGGACAGGGGCCAGTGTAGGCAGGGGCGGCACACGACGACAGCGGCGGCGGTAGGGTTGTCGGCAGGTCCAGCGACAGCTCCGGCAACAGGCGGGTAGGAGCCATCGAACGAGGGGATGGGTGCCGGTGGCCCGCGGCAAAGGACGGTGCCGACGGCTGCAGTGCCAGCACGTGGGGCAGTAGCGGCTGTGCCAGTGGCTGCAGCTGCAGTGCGAGCAGCCGTCATGCCGGAAGCAATGGCGCTGGCGGCGGCCGCCATAGTGCGGGCGGCTGCGGGGGGCACGGCGGCGGCTGAAGGTGCAGCGGGGGCCGCGCTGGCGGGTGCGATTGTGGATGCACTGGCAGCTGCGGCTGCAGCTGCAGCAGCGGCAGCGGCAGCTCTGGCGGCTGCGGCAGCAGCACTGGCAGCAGCTCCGGGGAGCTGCGGCAGCAGCGCTAGCGGCAAGCAGCTGGCGGCTAGCGGCCAGGGCCCGAGTTTGGTTTTGGGGCACCCTTAGGAATAAGGGTAGCATGACAATTTCACCCTGATTTGTAAGGGTGCCATAGGCAAATTCGACCCTAACCCACTGTTTTACCCAAACAAAACCAGGGTATGCTCCAAAAAGTGGCCGCTGGCAAGGGTAATCAAGGTGAAATACCCTTGAATCACTGGTCCTGCTGGCGGCTGCTCTGGCGGCCGGCAGCGCTGGTGGCTGCGGCTGACGAGTGCGGCTGGCTGGCGGCAAGCAGCGGGCAGCCGGAGAGGGTAGCGCGCAGCAGGCGGCATGCAGGGCGCAGCGGGCGGCATGTAGTGGGCAGCGCGTAGCGGGCTGCGAGCAGTGGGTGGCACAAAGCGGGCGGCGAGCAGTGGGTGACAGAAAGCGGGCGGTGCGCAGCGGGCGGCGAGCAGCAGGCGGCGCACAGTGGGTGGCGCGCAGCGGGCGGCAAGCAGTGGGCAGCGGCAGCGCGAGCAGCAGGTGGCAGCGGGCAATGCGAGCGCGAGCAGAGGACAGTGCAGGCAGCGGGCTAGGGCTAGGGCTTGGGCGCATTCTGGGGCGGCAGACTAGGGTGCAGGCTAGGGCGGTAGGCTAGGGCGACAGGCTAGGGAGAGAGGGGAGCGGGGAGAGCCTAGGGCGGAAACGCAGAGGCTAGGACCTAGCGTAGCGATGGCACAATGTCAACTGAGAGAACGGGTGATGAGACACATGCAGGACATGGTTCCTATATTTGTGTCGTACCCTCTATAGTCTACACCTAGCTAGCCTAGAGTACATAGAATATATGTATGTACATTAACAACATGGCCTTCGTTGACAAGAGACCCGCTGGGGTCGCCCTAGAAGATCCTCGGTAGGGCCACATGCTGCTATGTCTGGGGGGCTATGAACGCGTTGACCCGCTACTTAACAAGCCCTTTTAGCACAGTGGTTAGCGGCTGTGTCTGTGGTTAGTATTCAAAGCAGGGGGTCCTAAAATTACTGGTGCCAAAAAACGCCGTCACGGCTGGACGTCGACGCCACGACGGTGCGACGCCACGGCAGCGCGTCGGGACGGCCGCGGCACGACGCGGCCAGCGGCACGATGACGCTGCCACAGTAGCACGACGGCGCCGTCACGCCGCCACGGCTGGACGTCGACGGCGCCGCCACGGCTGGACGTCGACGCCACGACGGCACGCGATGCCACGGCAGCGCGTCGAGATGGCCGCGGCACGACGCGGCCAGCGGCACGACAACGCCGCCACAGCAGCACGACACGGCCACCATGGCAGCACGAGAGGGAGAGAAGGAGTGCGCAGCGGAAGCGTGGGGAGCAGGCCTGGGAAGAGGAACCTGCTCTGCTACCATGTTAAACTAAGGTAGCTAGGAACGGTAGGAAGCCATAGAAATGGCGAGAGGTTTTAGGCTAGGAAAATTGGGAGAAAAGGGGTCGAGAATAGAAGAGAGGGATACAAGGAGGGGAATTGTACCCTCTACAGTAGGTTTCAGTAACACCTACCAAGCCTATCAATTATATAACAAAATATATAATTTAACAAAGAGGACTGCCAAAATAAAAGACCGGCGGGTCTCTTAGCGACGGGTCCATGATCCGGGAGATTACGGTAGATTCCAATTAAAGCAAAACAGCAAGTATTACAAGCAAATATACATCATAATATACTTGTACAAATATATCATATCCATAATATGCCAACTATACCTTACAAGTTTAGCTGCCGCATGAAGATCCATCCATTTCTTTAGCTTCGTCTCGGCTTTTACAGTTAACCGACAAAATTGCTTCAGGGGTTCGGGCAGAGAATCATGTACACTCTACCACCTCTTATGAGCAGCCTCGTTCGCAAAATCCAAACGTGTTGGGTCCAGAATGTTACAGTCAAATTCGCGGTAACACATCCATGGCTTTACACCGAGGTAGTGTATCCCTTGAATCTCCGAGGGGTCTTCTGAGAACCACTTGTTCTTTATAGCGATGATGGCTTGTTTCGCTACAGGGTCTGCAGTCCAGACGGGTTTAAGAGTGTTTATGGATTCTGGTAACCGGTGCCACCAGGTAAAGATGTTGTTCAAATAGCCATGGGCAGGGAGGGAAGATGGGAAAGTGAAGGGATAGGGGCAGGGGAAGATGGTCGGGTTGGGGGCGGGGCGCAGGAGTGTTGATGAGTTTGGGTAACGGGCGCCACTAGGTAAATACGTTTTTCAAATAACCCTGGGCAGGGAGGGGGGTGAATTGTACACTAATCGGGGTGGAATGAAATGAACTTACACTGGCTTGGGCCGGTGAGAGGAAATCAAAACGGGCAAAGGAGGAGCAGTCTCACCTGGTCTCCTCCATTGGCTGACCGCACTCTCATAAGCTTTTCCATCAGCAGTTGAAACGTGCAATCCGATGGCTCCAAGACCATCACCCCTGAGTTGAAATCAGGGCCGTCATTTCCGCGGGCGGATATCTCGGGGAAGGCGAAGAGGAAGTCAACGCTGGTCAACAGGAGAAGATCCGAGTCAACGAAGACGAGCTTGGCGTAATCCGCCTGCTGCCACAGCCGCAGCTTGCTGGGGGGCCGAGCGGGGGGGGGAAGGGGGTGGGGGGGGAGCAGAGTCAACAGAAGTCAATCTGAGTAAAAAAATGTCAACGGGGGGGTGAACGAGTCACAGGGGTCACAGAGAAGACGGGGGAATAGGAGGAGGGGAGGGTGAGAGGGAGGGGGAAGTGCTGCGGGAGGCGAAGCTTGCTGGGAGAAAGGAGAAAGGTGGTCAACAAGAGGGGTCTCGGGAGTCAACACGAGTCAACAAGAGTCAACAAGAGTCAACTGGGGAACAGGTCAAATTCACGAAGAGCCGACCTGCAGACACTGGAGAGTGAGAAGCGATAGGGTGAGAGTTGCCAGTAGTGCATTCGCAACGGGGAACGGGTGTCCTCGCTATAAGCTCGCACCTGTAGTTCCACTCGTTATAAGCCCCCTCCTCAGCGTTCGGGTTTCTTATCCTCTCTATCTCCTTCACTCGACACCCAGCCTCCCTCAGTCCTCGCCTGATCTCCTCTGAAATCTCCTTCGATACAAGCACAACCATCTCACGCGTGCTCTCCGCCCTCCTTATGTTGTGCCGCAGTACTATTGCGCCGCACACATAGCGCTCAGACGAGTGTAGCACTGTAGCATACGCGAAGCGATGTGTGGATGGAGGAAGAAAGGGATGTAAAGCGGTGTGAAAGGAAGGGGAAGATGGAACGGAAAGAGAAATCATCACTCCTCCAACTGCTAAGTCGGCGTATACCTGCCTGCCTGTCAGAACGAAGTTCTGTTAGAATGAAGTAAAAGTTGCTTCTTTTCTCCCGAAATGAAGATGATACCAGAAACTCATGCCAGCGGCCTCGTTGTCCTACCTGGCATGTCGCACTTGATTGGCTGAGCCATGGCGCATGATCCCAGAGGTTGCATACGTATCAGCATGTCATTGGCCGTCAGGTTGTAGAGCCACACGTCCCCCTCCTGCCTCATGAGGAGCGAGCAGTGGAAGAGGTTGGGCGGCGGGCGGCACGCGGAGAGCAGCACCACTGGTAACCAAGGGCGGTGCGCCTGTTACAGAGGTAGAAACCATGGGAGAGAGAAAATCGGGATGGTAGTCGAAGGCACGAGCAGTCATACGAGGTCCAAAGGCCCAATTCGGGCGGCGGGGCGGCAGGAGGAGAGAAACGTCAGTGTTAACCACGGCCCGGGGCAGTGTGCCTGGCAGGGGGGATTCGATGAGGGGGTTGGGATGACAGTAGGAGGTAACACCATTTGTAACCACGGGCGTCCTCGTCTTCCGAGTCGGCATCAAAGGGAGACACAAAGGGACTCCTGTTTTGAAGTTCATTTGAAAGCAGGAGGCCCTCAAACGTTAGCCACGAGTCTTACCCTGGTGACGAACCCTGCGATAGTTAGGAGCTGCTGCTGCCACCGAATATCCTTCGCCCAGGAATTGCTTGGCTCGTCGCAGGGCACTCGTGCGACAATAGCGTCGATGTCGCCCAGCCAATCTGGGTCGTTCGGCTCAGGAATTTTCGGACAGGAAGAGCACGATTCGTTCACGCACTCGGGGTATGCGGTGCTCCAATTCAGCGTCTCGGGCACGTGCGGAACGGGTAACTCGAGAAGCCTGTTACCCCCAAAGTAACCTGTTGCATTCATCTCGAAGTTGAACGTCGCAACCTTCGCGAACGGCAGTCGATTTTATCGCTGAAACGAACTCAGCTCGGTTAAACCGCGGGAGTAGCCGCTTTGAGGAGCAGCAACGAACGGGCGGCATGGATTTTCTACAGTAACGGTAATATCGAACCGCCCAGTAATCGAGTGCCGCGTGGCATAGGAATTGGAAGAGAGATGAGTCAAAAAGAGTATTCCGAGCGCCGCGGGGAAACAGCACGCCAGGAATAAAATCTTATCTCGAGGCTTGAGTTTCAAGAGGGAGGTGAACACTGTATGGGTATTCGTACCACTACTGGTTCTATCGACTTTCAGCGCGACGTGCGGCGAGTGATCCCGAATCAGCGGCGGACTCCATAGCGGCTTATGCGGCGACGTATGTGGCGACGGGCATTCCCCGCCTCTTGACGGGCCACGCGTTGAGGGACTACTGATCATTGCGACGAAATACTTAGTGAGCGACCAGGCGGCACTAACTGCAATTACTAGTGCCGTGCCTTCATCTCTTTATAGACCGACCAAAGCTTAGAACAGAAAGCTTGGAGAGAAAGAGAGCACGTATCTTGACGACGAGCGAGCTGCTTATCGCGTCACATTGGTGCGTACTTGTCATGCGCCATTGGATGGAATGCGATGCGACGGAATGGGATGGAACGGCAGTACGGCACATCACCACACCGCGACTCGGCTTGGGAACCGCGTACCTCCCTCTCGCAGCACCACAGCAGCACCACCACAGGTGAAATATCGCGAGCAGAAAGTGGGTGCTGCTGCTAAGTCGTCGTGACCTGAGATAAGTGACTTGAGTGTCTTGGCGTCGATGGAGCGTAGCGGATGAGGGATGTCGAATGGAACTGAAGGCAGTCAATTCAATCACACGAGAAAACCACTCGAGTCGGCTATTGCTCGCGACTCGGCTGAGCGGAGGTGTTTATGTAAGTGTCAGGGTGGGATAATTCGTGTACACAGCGCAGCATAGTGGCTGAGTTCTGCAGACAAAAAAGGAAAGTGCAGTTTACATCAGAGCACCTTCTGAAAGCGAGAGATTTTGCTTCGGATCGAGGGTCAGCCCGCAAATTTTCACCCAAACCTGACACAACGTACCCGAACCTGGTTACATCGACATGCCTGCAGAACAGCTCCATCTACAGATTACATCTACATCAGGGAAACACCCTCGTCGCTTCCCTCCCTGGCAAATCCGACGCAAACTTGACGCAACACTGACGTTCGCTCAATCGCGGAGTTCACCTTATGTCCGGCGTTACATCAGGCGCAAGGGTGTACTAGGCCTCCACACCCCAAGAATACAACCGCCACCACTTTACCCCACCTCGCGAACTTGGGCCTGCCCTGAAAAAAAACAGCAGCTGAACAAACCCATCGCCAACTCACCAAATGCCTGCAGAACTCAGCCAGTGGATAGGGCCACGCGTGGCACACCCTGGTTCCTGGTATTTTCTGTGACACAAGGGAATGCGCGACTTGTCTGTGTTCCGGCATGTGCTTATAGCGATGCTACGTCGTATAAAAGGAGCCTCGTGTGTTTTTTCGTTTGTACCTTGGAACAAGATGCACTCTCATAGCTAAAGTTCAAATTGTTTTCAGAAATCGAAAGCCCATAATATTCACTCCTTATATCATAATCTGGTTTATTGCAGTAAATTTTATTAAATTATTAAATTAATGAACGAGGACAATGGAAAGCGCAGCCAGATTCAGTTACACCAATAGCTGCTGTTAGTACAGAAAAATTGTATTTGGTTTCCCATTTGGCACCGTCCCAAGCCGGATAGCGAGGATATGTTGTGCGCCCACCTCTGTGCTCCCCATTTCCTGGGGAAATTACTGCCACAGACTGTCCGCAAATCTTTTCATACTTTCGTGGACAACCCCTACTTTCATGGACACCACATCAACCTTTCGCTTCTCCCGTAGACTCCGTTTCTACTTTCATGGACATCCGCCTTACTTCCATGGACAAGGTCAAAATCGCAGGAAATAGGCGAAAACTCAACTGTACAAAAAATGACGGGCGCTGAAAAAAAAAACAGCGGCTCAGCGTGCGTCGCAAAGAGTCGCGCACTACAGTGCCCCAAACCTAATCCGAA